ATCAATATAAATCAGTTTGAATTCTTGTATGATATTAAGAACTTATAATTATGAACAATTATATGTTCTTAATAATTTGTAAGGTTAATATGTAGTTTCAAGTTATTTCAATTAAAAATTTCCAAATTGCTTTATGATCTATCGATGCTGCAAAAAAGATGGAGGAATGATATATTCGTGTTACATTTAAATTTCTGATTATTTAAAACTTCGTCGTCGAAAACTTGAACTTATCTCGCGTGAAAAAGCTTACCCCATATATTGCGCCTGTTGATATCCAGCGAACTGTCCGTAGGTATATCCCTGCATGCCTTGAAGAAAGCCACCAGCTTGCATTTGTGTCGCTGTCGTGGGATAAGATTGGGGCGGATACCAGTATCCTAGTTGTCCAGCACCGCCGACGCCACCGACGCCTCCGACACCCGCGACGCCCGCCGCCGCCGCGGCGGCAGCTGCCGCCGCCGCGTAGTATGGGTACGTCGCCGACGATAACGCCTGAAAGAGCACAAAGATCAATGAAATAGAAAAGAGCAAGAACATTGTCTGGATTTTATACTTAACGATGTCGATAGGGTCAGGAATGGTAATTTCGTTCCGTCGAAGATTTGTGTGGTCGTTCACTTGAAATGGGCGACGCGAGAATTTCAACGCGATCATTTCATTGCCGTCACGTAAATTATTTTTTATTATTTCGCTGTTCCTCGCGTGAACTCATTCATTCTTTTACGGTGCACAATGTGAAGTCAGATCAAATTATTCCACCGAATTATTGTGAAATAATATATTTTGTAAAATATAACAGTTTGTTCTTTGTGCGTATGCAATTAATTTTTATGATAAAAGAAAATATATTTCTTTTCTGTTTTTACAATAATTTACTTGTCATCTAATAATATTTAAATAATATTAAAATTTTCTTCCAAAATTCGTGATATGAAATGAGGAAGCAATATTAAGGGAATGATGTGATCACAATTGTCGAATAAGATATTTAAACAGTGATTTTTTGCTAGTTTTGCTTCTAAGAGGTTTATTGGAAATAATATGCAGCTATTATGCTCTTCATTAAACCGATACGATGAACTGGGATATCACGCAAACTAGTTCGATTCCGTTGAATACGAGAACAGGGTATGGCAGGATACGTACTAACGTGATATCTCAGCTCCTCTGGGAGAAGCGCGTTATGGGAATAGAGATCAATTAGAGCGATGTCACGGGCCGAGTAGCAGTGGATGGATGCACGGAAGTACTATCGGGGAGTGCGAGAGGGTTTGGGAAGTACTTCGGGTACCATTCCCAGATCGGGCGTACCTACCCATCCTAACGGAGCTAATTGCTAAGAGACCCGGCCCGACACACTTCGAAGAGGCACCTGAATAGACCGGAATCTTGCCCGATTCCCTGTCCTCTCTCCGTTTCCGCCTTTACTCTTTCGCCGGACTTTCATGTCATATACCGATATGCCGACAGAGACACTTTAGCCGCGCGAAATCGGGAGAAACCGGTCGTGATCCGATAACTACTTCCTTCTTTGAACGCTCTTACTTCTTTGAGACGCGAGTATTCATTATTCAGTTTCAGTGACACGTATAACAACGGCAAGCTTGAGCTTTATATTTATATCGAGGAATCTGTCGCTCTCTGCATTCATCGCTTTGACACATGCAACTATTGAAGATTAGATTTGATATTAATGTCGACATATACTATTCTCTTTCAAACAATTCTGACTCTTTGTAATATAGTCGCTCTTGCGTGATTCATATTCACTGATGCACGTAAAGATTCACTGATGCCACTGTTTCTACTTTTCATACATTGCATTTAAAAGAAAATCGGCGATAATGCTTATTCATGAAATAAAGTTGAAAAATTCTTTCGGTTTGATACGAGCAGCGATGTAAATGTTGGAGAACACGGAGGAGAGTGAAATTTCACGTCGAAACTGTCCTTCTAGTAGAGCGGATAAAAGGAAAAGATAGAGAGAGCATTTACCTGTCCAGTTGGTTGAGCATTATTAGGATCTCCACTTTCCTTGCCCCAACTGCACTTTACCGTTTGGCCGTTGATGTCTGTGTTGTGTACCGCTACGATGGCGTGCGTGGCCGACTCCTTGGTAGAAAACCTGAAATCGAAAGAGACGGAGGGATTCAAGTCTTTTGTTAAGACGCGCGTCTTTCGACGTCAATATTGGTGTTGGTGCGACGCGATGGTGTGTGCAAAAAGAAAAATCTCCGGAGCAATACTCTTGCCACAAGTTAAACCGGACCTTATTATAGTAGCTTAACGAAATGGTCTTTGCGACTAGTGCAATTTAATTTATGCGAGTTTATTGCGCGCACGAATGAGCACGGTAATTGTGAGTCTCGACGAATTTAGATTACTCCAGATAGGCATTCAATGTTAAATTCTACACACTGATTACGCGGGTTTAGTTTCTAGTTTGCTAAAATAATATTATTTTGGATGAACAAACGTATATTGTTGTTATCACAATACATGATAGAAACTTATACTTTAACATCATGTTCTAGCAATATTTCACAAATTAGAAACATAAAAAAGAGAACAAAATGTTGAATTTGTCTGACAGTATTTGTATCGTGTTTTCCGTTGCTTCGAGACATATATCTGTCATTTCTGTTACATGATAACTTAAGTAAAATACTAATTATAGCGCACAGCGCTTTTCAATTATTCAAAGCATCCATCACTTTTCGGATAAATTTGATCAACTTTGTTCGGAAGGGCGGGGACTAGAGTTTTCGAAAATCTGATTAGAGCACGATGAATTCGGCGGCAAGGTGGCAGGGAATTATTGAATTTATCGAGGATTAGGTCACTTTTAACGTTCGCATTCGAGATTACACAATGGCGACTTCGTCCATAAGTTCACCCCCTTCCCATCTATCGAGCTTCCGTCCACGATCGTTGAGTAGGACGAACGATGGTCATCGTCAGCAACCCCCCGCCCCCTCGCCCCTCTCTAAGACCGTACCTCAAGCGATAACCAGCGGCAGATAAGATTCTTTCTTTCACCCGAGAAGAAAAGACCTCCTTCCCTTATCCACCCTCCCGTCTTGCTTTCTCGCTGTACCTTGCAGTAAGTCCATACGTCATCCCGAGATATTCGTTTCCGGGTTCCACGGAAGAACAGAGGGAGGAAGAGCAATTAGACGGAAGATATCTGAACGACGGACATTGTCCAGGGGTGGCGGAACTGTGGCAGACGTACGAAACGGTAGAGGCCATCGTATCGGATAAGGATGGACAAGGATATCGAGCAGCGGACACGAGGGAGAATAAAGGTTAGAAAGAGAAAGATACGTAAAAGAAGGTTTATTGTGTCCTTCTTCCGTCCCTGTTTCCCTCTAGGCTTCACTTTCCCTCTCTCTTTCTCTCTTTCTCTTATCGCTCGTTCTAGAGCAACCGTCCTACTCTTTCGGCAGTCTTTTCTGAGGTAGGTCACGGATTTCTCATCGTCGTTAAGGTGCTGAATTCGCTTTCAGCAGATATAAATGCTTAGCTGATTTCTCGTCACGTTCTTTTTTTTATGGCTTGAAAATATCGATATAAACACGATCGCCTGTGTAGCGAAATTTTTAATTTTTATTTACGGTAATTAATCTCTTTGTTTCCGTACATAAAATTATTGACAAAACATGAATTTCATTAAAGAATTTAACAATTCTTTATTAATGTTTTTGAAACATAAATAAAATTGATTTCGTCAGGTATGGGAAGTTGAACTGAAATATATGATCTGTGCGAATGTAATGGGTAGATTAATGAAATGGCCACGATTCGAGCTTGATGAGTCCGACATGCTGCCATTGACCCGACATGTTCTCGCGTTTCGTGCCATAAATCACAAGCGACGGTGGGTATTGATGCGCCATTCATGCGATTTCCTAATATTTCGTAAAATCTCATTTGATGATTCGCATTACGCTGGTACCAATCATCGCGCAATGATTTTGAGTAAAATTTCCTCAAGTTTTGCTGTAACAACTGTATTACACGCTTCAAATCCAAAATCCAATCACTTTATGCAAATGTATCCTTTGTGTACATACGATGATTCTACCTGGTTGGCCTTAGGCCAGATGTTCGATTTTGTGATAAATTTATCCGGACAGTTGGTGTAAGCACATCATCAGCCAAACATAATATATGTATGGTAATCTAGCGTAATGGCTTGAGGGTGATTGGTTAAATAATAGATTTCAATAATAAGACCGATATGACTTTTCCTAACAAAATCGATTATTATTTTACTTTATACAAAACATACGCTCTATTAAAATACACATTTATTTCTAGAAACTGAAATAAAAATAATTACGTATTTTTGTTCAATATTCTGGAAAGTATTATTACATTTTCATTACACGGATGAATCGAATATTTAAGCAAGGAACACAAGGATAGTAAAAGTAAAAATTTATATAAGTTGTTATTATTACAATATACCCTCAAAGAATGCGAAAATTCAGATTTGACTTAATTTTTACAATAACGTATGGTAATACATAGTATATTAAGTTTCTGTCCTAGATTCCTTTTTTTTATAAGACGGTAAAAAGCTTCGGTAATTAACGAAGTTTGATTATATAATCAGTGAAATGGTTTCAAGGGTTTCATACTAAAGTTCCGTTTAATTCCGTTTAATTCTTCACGAGAATTGGCCTTAAGTGTTCTTTGTGGAGTCTGGTGATCGATAAATCATTTTGTAATTTAAACGGCGATAGAGTAAAACGACTTTTAATTACGACAATTCATTAAGATATAGAGAAATAACCCGTGAACCTTACATTCATTTATTAGAAGAAAAAATTGCGGCAAATAAGTAAAGTTGTATATTTTTGACGTAACAAAAACAAGTGAATATTTGAAATTATTTTAAACACGTTTTTTTTTCCAAAAAAAAAACACACTGTTTTTGAAGCAACGTAGATTATTAAATAAATCAGAGAATCTGAGCGCATTTCTATTTTAGATTAGAACAGTATCTAAGAAAGATTGATTTTAGGTTAATAAGAGTAAATGCTGTCGGTCAATTTTAACTGGACTATTTTCGTAAACATGTAAAATTATGTAGACCGCGCAAAAGATTAATGAATTGACTAATGCGATCTGCGAATATCGTGCTAACTTTATAACAAAAAAGAATAATTGGAGCGGTTATTATTTTCCATGACACTATTGTAAAAGCTACAATGTAGCGAAATAATTAATATATTGTGGCAATGTGATTCTATAGTCAATCTTTTTATCAAATTATAAAAATATTTATATTGGCTATTCAGTTACAACAAATTACAACAAAGAATAATATTAATAATCATATATATTCACGTGTACATATATACATATACATATATGTATATGCGTAAACTAATTTTAAAATAATATAAAAATATATCATAAGTTTAAACTTAAATATAATAAGGAGCGCGTAAACTTAATTCGGTTTTCTGAAATTTTTTTCTCTTTTAAAAACGATTTCCTAAATAATGCCGATTTATCAAGGATGGGCAAGTTTGAAAATATTTATACATTGTGAATATATTTTAATGTAATCATTATAAAATGCATATTTACCTGATAAAAGCGTAGCCTTTGTCCTTAAACACTCGAATTTCTTGGATGGATCCGAAGGGCGAGAAAGTTTTCTGCATGAGTTCTTCTGTTAAACCATTGGTTAAACCGCCGCAGTATACCGTGCAGTTGGTCGGACTACTTTGATTGTAAACTTCATCGAACGTCAACGGCTTTGCATTCGCTGTGAGACAAAAAAAATAATACACTTTAATCTTCATTTACTTGTATAACCTGTTGAGAGAGGTCTAAGAAAACTAGTTCAAGCGTTAATAATCGTAGCTATATGACTCCTGAATATTAATTGTTATACGGGTCTTTCTTGACTCAGAACATAAACTCATAACGAAATACAGTGATAAATATTTATAAATTTATATACGGAATTCTTACACATCGCAATGTAATATGGAAGAACATGAAATAGTTTAAAAATAATTTATTGCGAAAGCTCAATTATGGCTTGAGCTAACGAGTTTTGTGTTATGAATTTTTAGATTATATTTGCTACAAGTTATTGATGTTGATTTTGTTTACGCCAGGAGATTAATTACTCTTAGCAAATATAAAATTCAAAATTGTGTAGAGAAGTTTAATAAGTTTACTTTAGATGTATATATAACGCCCACTATATTACAAGCTGTTTTAATCGACGTCAACGCACCAATTTTCCTCAATTGCGCTTAATTTCAAAACTCTATCAATTACATCAAAATTCTGAAAATGGGATGCTGCTTTCATAAATGTTATTACGCGTCAAATATTAATAACAATGTTTGTAAATTACGACAACAAAATTATTCCTTGATCAAGGAAACGTTTCGGGAAATATTAGTTGCTGTGCCCCATCGCAGCGTTTATTTTGTTATCAATCAATGCGCGGCAAAGTCGTGTTGTTGAAAAACATAACTCCTGCTCGTTCGCAGTCATGATTGGCGTACAAAGAATGAGCAGCGTTGTGAAGCGGAGAGTTACGCGGGCATTCATCAAAAAACGATCAGCACACGGCGTAATGATTATTCCGTTTGCAACATCCAATGGCGATCGGATACGATCCCGATAGCAATATAAGAAACAACACGCACGTGAGGGCCTTGGGAAAGCCATTATTGAAAGTATCTACTTTCCTCAACGCGATAGATCTCTCATATATCCTTTACCTCTTCTCTCGCGGCCTCCCCCCTTTACCCCGCGGCATTACTTTTACTGATACTACGAAAGAGGTCAACCGGATTTCACGGTGTGGTCGGAGCGAGACGCGAGGAGCTGCTCGAGATATCGAACGCCAATGCCAAAGAGGTTGAATCCCGTCAGCTAAGTTTACGATCGTACGGGAGCTTAGCCTATACGGTTCAAGCAGGCTACGGGTGTAAACGCGACCGGTAAACCACGGCCTGTAATTGCCTCGTTCGAGGATGGAAGGTTTTCAGAACGGCAGAACGTCCCGTTAAGAACTTACCGAGGGACGTTCTCTTCTTTTCTCAAAGCTCGGCATTATCTCTTTATTGCTTGGTGAACGTTATTCTCAGTATTCCCGGAATGTCGGCGCAGCTTGCCCGCCTCCCGTCGCCGCGGCCGCCGCCGCCTACGGTCGGCTTTAAAAAATTTTGTTTGTTCTAGAATGCTTATTTCGCAAAAAGAGAGATTGAAATATCTGCACTCCTGGCGCTTGCGAAGTCGTGAACTTTTTACGGTTCTACTTTCTTTGATCGCCGATCGTTTCGCAAGTTAATAGCTGAGAATTATTATACGACAAAATGTGTAACGAATCAATGCATTATCGCGACACGGTAGCTGATTAATGCAATATTATTTCTACGAGTCATATGATTGCAAAATTTATTCATTACGCGAAAAAGATATTTTCAAAGTAAATTAAAAATTTCCCTCAGTATTTCTAACACAATTCATAATATTATGAATAATATTTATCCTTTTATCAAAAAGAAACCAGATAACTGTGCAAAAATCGTAATTTGTGTCCTTTCATAATTATAAATGTACATTATATCATCGCACTTGAACATTTATGCTGTACACATAGATTGTGTACTATCTTTGTATTTTCATTGTTAGTATTCATGATAGTTGAGTTAAGAATTATGCACATTATATACATTATACTGTGAGTGTGTATGTGTGTATAATTATTTTACAAGATCTTTAAATTAGCAAGCATTTTATGTCAAGATGCAGATAAATCATATCATTCATTCAAAAAAGATATGTCTATCTGTAATATGTCTAACTGCTGCAGTTTTATAATCCTACTCAGAACATGCAAAGTTTTTCGTTATATATTACGATCAAATAAACTTATCAATCACGAGAAGTTCGGTTCCTTAAAAAAAGTTTTAATTCATCATCATGTTTTGTTTATCTGTTTATTGTCAGATTCTCCTGAAAAATATAATTTTGGCTCGGATAAGTGAACTGAAATGCGCGAATAAATAATTCTGATAAAATCTCGGAACAAAATCTATCTTTGAATATATATAATAATCGTTTTAATACTTTATTCTGGCACAGGATGTTTATAACGAATATATGGCACCGTATTTTAAGATGATGTTGGATCTATATCTCATATCCTCCTTTTAGAACTGTAATAAATTGCCTTCAGCGGAATATTAATTTTATATTGGATTTTAAGCGACACGAGAAGCTGTCACTGCTTTTTTGTCAATACTTGTCCGCGCTATGGACGTAGTTTTCGAGATTTAAGAGAGAAAGAGAGAGAGAGAAAAAGAGAGAGAGAGAGAGAGAGAGAGAGAGGAGAAATCGAGATTCAAGATATCGGGGATCGATTGGAAGAATTGCTCCCAACGTTTTGAAGCGGTTATATCGAGAATATCTGGTTGAAAAATTGAAGAGCTATTGTAGATCTATGGCGATGGTTTTCGTATGGAGTGGATTCCATGAAAGAGAAAAAAAAGATTTCAAAGAAAGATTGCGAAGATGAAGTCGATTCGGACGTGGAATGATACTGGATGAAAGAATAACTATACGATTGTATTTTTATCGAAATTTATCACACTGAGCTTTTGATTGATTTTGATATGACACGTAATATACCAGCAATACATCCAAATGAGAATCAGAATGAACAGTGTCATCTATAATACATAAAATCATTATACGTAGATTTGTATTTACATTTATATTAGGCATAAATAGCTGTATCAGCTTGATGTAAGTTCCAATGTCATTTAATTAGTCACAAGTTTTTAATTAATATCTTATAGAAAATATAATATGAATTTTTAAATAAATTTCTCATTATATGCACATATATATTAATGACAGTTTTCGTATTAGTTAAAATATAAAGTTAAGTTAAAAGAATGTAAGTAATAAAAACGAGATATGGTACTGGCTCACAAAATTTTTTAGAAAACAAAACAATTGGCGAAATTTGATGATTTTGATGTTTTATCTTATTTTGTGTAATAAATAATAAAATTTTGTTATAAATGTTAAAATTCCAATGCACACACACACACACACACACACACACACACACACACACACACACCCAG